CCAACAAAGGACCCAGCTGACAAAAGACAGTCCGGGACCCGACTACGTGGCAGGGTGCTTGGCAGAGCCCAGCGCAGCGGAGGCAGGCAGGATGAGATGCTCCCAGGGGTCTGGCCCGGTGGAAGGGTGCTGAGTACTTGTTCTGACTGCGGTCTAGACCGCGGGCAATAGGTACGTGCTGCAAACCAAGGTCTAATCTCGGCAGCTAACAGGTTAAAAAGGCTTTGTTTACTGTCCAGGTCCTTTTTCTCCCCTTCCTCTCTGTTGCATGTCACAGCTTCAGTCACAGTCTTATTTCACAACTGTATGTTTTGAAAAGACTTATTAGCTCTAAGTGTAGGCTGGGCTTAAGACTCTTGCTTTATTGTTTACCCTGCCTGCTAGGCCTGTTTCTGGGGTCAGACCCAGGTTACCAATTACAGCTGTGATTAAACGTACTAGCCTTGCTTACCTCAGGCTTTTTTTCCCCTTATATTCCCACTGCTTGCGCTTAACTAGTATTAGCAACCGGGCGGCTGCTGGCACAGGAACCACAATGTCTGTGCCTTCTCCGACACAGCCAGATGACGAGATCCGAACCAGGCTAACACGCTCTATTAAAGTTCAAAACTGTTCCCGGAGACTTGTTCTGTTCTTCTTCTTTTGTTTTCTTTTCTTTCTTTTTTTTTTTTCTTAACATAAAGGAAAAGCAGCCCTTGGCTTCCCAAATCTAAGTAGATAACCCTAAAATCCTTCTCAAATGCTAGGATAATGGGGAGGGGCCCACCCTGGAGAAGTGACAGCTCATTTAGCCATCTGTGGGACACATCTAATCAGGAGGGCTTGAATGTCAATTCTGTGTGTGTAACTATTTCTCTGCTGATAACAGGGGGTGTGGATTCACACTGTGGCTATTTGACTGGCAGCTGACTCTATATTCAAGGAGCAGCCTGTAAAGTGTTTTTTTGTGTCTAATGCTTCATGAAAGACAGCCCAGCATATTAAAAAAGGTGCTCCCCCCCAACCATAACCAAAGTGTAGTGTGGGAACAGTTGCCTTTTAGGTGTGCATAAAAAAGCCATGAGCTGCTGACTCTTGAAAAGCCTAAGTCCATGCGAGCATTTTGGTCTGCCTATGCTGAGCTTTAACCCTTGATTGAAAGCCAGACGTTACCATTTTATTGTAAAACTTCCGGCTCAACTCGTTTCGGACAAACAGGGCTGGAACGTTTGAAAGCCCATCTGAACTTTTAATTCCTGTCAAACCAGTTACAAATCTAGTCCAGCCAATTGCTATCAAGAGGTTTTTATATATATTTTCTTTAATTTTAATTGAAATTTAAATGCTCTCAGCCATTTCCAGCTAAACACAGGGTGGAAACTAATCTAGCCAGAACAGCATTAAAAACAGCTCTAACTTCTCTTTTTAAAATGAATTTTGTTTTATAATTGTTTGTTTACTCTGTAACGCCTCAAAGCAATTTGAAAGCATGTATTAAGTCTTATGCCCTGTCTCTAAGATTGCAGCCTTGTTGTAACAGGGCCAGAAGTTATGGACGCCTAGCCTGCTCAGAGGTCCTTGAGCTCCACAGGAAATCTCTTATTGGAAGGGCTTAACGAAGAGGATCTGATTTTGGAGATGAGGGCCTGCGCTAGATATGAACGCATACAAGACAGAGGCCGTCAGCCGTGCCAGTGTAGCTTGTAGGAGCAGTGACGATGAGTAAGAATAGGTGGAGGATCTGAATTTGGAGAATGGTGCCACCACTTATTTCATCTGCTTGCAGGGCAGGGGGGACTAGGGGAACCTGCTCACCAAGTTTAGATCATCAGCAGCACTTAAGAACTGTTAGCCCTGATTGCAAATAAACCTGCACTTGCTGTTAATGCTATTCTTGGCCGACTGGAGGATGGAAGACCTCTTGCTACGATTACTCTACAGTGACTCAGTACTGGATGATACCATCCAAGTACTTTTCAATATGATCCTTCTGTCGGACAGGGGAAACAACCCCTTTTCCCTGCTCCTAGCTTGTCCAATTAGACTGCAAACTCTGCTCAAGGTCTCCTACGTTTTACTAAAGTAGCAGACTGAGAGTTTATTTTTGCTTTGGCTTTTACTGGTGCATTTGTATAAAGGTGTCTTGTGCCAGGATAGTTTTGTTTGCTTCCTAATTTTATGCCAACTATGACTGTGCCCGCGTGCTCTGAGTGTCTTTGCTGGCTGACAGTACAGGTGTGTTTAAAGTAGTAAAGCTCTGCATGGACAGGCTCTCCCAGCGTGTGTTTGTGCAGCCTGCTTGAGGGGCCTCTGGCTGCTGCTGCGGCATAAATAACCTCTGCCTGCATTGTATCGTGCCCTGCGCTTCACATGGACCCGGGTTCCTTTCATGTGTGTTGCTGCCTTGAAAAAAAAAGTCCTTAGACTTTAATCCTTGGGTTTATTTCAAAGCTTACAAAGGCAAATCTGGTTTATAGCAAGAGATTTGCCTGCTTCCTTGTGCTCTGGGGATGAATGGAGCGGCAGATGGAGGGGGGCGGGGAGGACCCGGGACCCCAGAACCCCCGGCAGCTTCTCCGCCTGCTGCCCAAAGCACCTTCCTTTAAGCTGTGCAGAGCACCAAACGAGGTCAACAGAGACCTCTGTCTGGGCAGTGTCTTTTATATCAACCTCCACTAAGCAATACAATTTTAAATGCTATTGTCTTACTCTTTGCCCTGGCCTGTTGGCTGTGTGTTGCTGCACAGCCGTACTCTCACGCTTCAGAAGGTGTGAGCTTGCATGTGCAGCATGTGCATGCAGGAATCACAGAGGTGTGAACAAAATGAGCTGCAAACTCTGGAAGCCAAAGGCCTCAGATGAATCCTATTCCATTCTGGAGTCATGGAAAAGAATTGGAGTTTTGAGACACACGAAATCCCCTCTTTTGAGAGTGCCGCTAAGAGGCAACGGGCACACGGTGGTGCTTGTACGTAGCCCTCACCAACGTGAAGGATGCCCGAGCCGTGCAGGACCGCAGAGCTGTCGATAAGACCGGCGATAAGATGGAGCTGGGCTGGCAGGCGGATAGCCGGGAGGCGCGGGCCGCTCCTCCCGCCTTATCAGGGAGCACCGGTGC